CCCCAAAACCCCAAAACCCCAAAACCCCGAGTAAAAATATGGGTTTTTAATAAATTAATTAAAAATAAGAGACAATATAAATATAGCTAGATAATTATAGTTTATGATTTCATATTTCATTTTCTTAAAATCTACTCTAACCTTCTCTTCGCTCCATCATTGTTTTCAAAATAAGATCTTATTTTATAGTGCTAAGGCATTTCAGCCAGACATTTAGTAGTCATAAGTTATTCCATTCGACACGCTTAACTCGCCCTTGGTAAATTTACGATCATCATTTCAAGATCTTTATCAAGTTTTATTTTATCTTTGACCCTTCTTTCTCTTTTCAATTCTCTAAGACGTTCATTTCTTCTATCGAATTCATATCTGTATTTTGACTGGCTATGCTAGGCCTCCTCACTTAGTACCTATTGAAATTCTTTGAATGACGATTTATCATGCTCCATAACATCAAATAGTGTTGAAATATCTTTTTTAAGTCTGTTATAATCCAAAGAATGAATAACTGAGGAAGATATTACTCTCTGATGACTGTGGACTAAAGGGTTATAACTATTGAAGTTAAGATTCAAACCATATGATTCCTAGCTATTTCGCTAGTCAAGAGATCTATTTCTTTAATCTAGGGTTGTATAATTTTAACCAGAGTCATCTTAGTAGGGGTTAATTGTAGATGTATTTTTTGTTAACATCAATTTGCTCTATTTAATTGATGGAAGCTTGATGTAATTTGAGTTATTAACCTGGCTCTATCTTATTTGATAATTCTCTTCATTTTTATCTTTATCATGGCCATTTTTTGGACTATCATCATTATCATCTCCCTATGTATAAAATGTCTTATTCATTAAATTTGCAACATCTTGATCTTATTGATTGTCTTATTCTTGTTTAACATCGGTATCAAGATAAGATAAAGATTCTTTAATTAGTCTTTTTGGAGAGGTATAAGAATTGTAGTTAGGCCTGTTGAAAGCTTCTTTTTGTCTATCCTGCTCAACTCATGTAAATTTGTCTATAAACTTGCTCATTTTACGCAAATTGTTTTCGTTAAATTTCTTCAGTTCAACTCTGTTATTTTATTTGACAAGATGGCGGGGAGGTTAATCTATTCTGAGTGACTCTAATGAATTTTCAAGGGATCTATTTTGATTTGGTGAACCTTGAAGTTCTTGTTTACTGCCATATAGATGATTTTTATTCTCTATACCATTCTGATATCTATTTACATTAGTGGCCAACAGTATATTTCTTGAAATTAGCTACTTTTATATTCTAAGACTGCTAAAAAATATTAAATAAATATTCGAGTCAAGTTATTATTATAAGTGAATTTTCTTACTTACTTTTTTTGGAAGTAATCAAGATTTTAATTTAGCCAAGAGGACAAATATTTGACTTGCATTTCCTCAGGAATGATTATAGTTTTATGTTTCTTCTTGCCTAAAAGGAATTTGAATTCTAGCTTCTTTTGCATGGTATCAATAAACTTCAACAATTCCTCCGACTTAACTAGATCTATTTGCATGTCTAGCCTCGCAAATTTCTCACTAATTAGCAAAATTTTGTCAATTGGCTAATTTAATTAGTCTGTGAATTCAGGTGAAATTTTGAATATAATTAAAATATCCTTAGCTAATTCCTTTATCTGATCTTAGATGTTTTCCATTTACGCTTATCAGTCTAAAACTTAATTAACTTTTTATCATTACCTTTACTCTGATTTTATGTATTAAAGATTGAATGATTTCTCTTAAATTTCTAGTTGATTATTTTGCTCATTTTTAATTATAATTTAATATAATGAAATTAAATGCTTCTTCTAAAAGTTTTCTTCTTAATAAATCAACTACCTCACTCCTTAAGGCTAATGTGCTTGAAAATAACATGAATTACGTTTAATCATATGCTGTTGTTGACAAGTTGATCGATGTCTTGTTGGACAAAGTTTAAACTAGAATGATAATAGGAGATATTGAGAAGAAAATGAATCCTTTTGTTAATGAAAGAGTACTTGCTGACTGCAGAGCAACGCTTTACTTTTTTACTATTTTCCATGACAATAATAAATGCTACATTGAAAAGGATGAATATGAAGAACCTTACGCTGCTAAGCCCGATAATGGAGCTACAGATTATATAGCAAAAAACAAGTTTAGAATACCAGAGAATGTAGTGAACCTTCAACTACCTCCTTAAGAATCGAATCCCGAGTTCAGTATATTCAAAGATCAGTCAATGCTCTCACTTTTGAGTTAAAAAGTTAGAAGTAAACAAAATTCAAGTAGCATGAGTAAAAAGTAATATAAACTTTAAAATGCCATCAAATATTTACTTTAATATTTAGTCCAAAGAAATAGATTGAGGATGACAAAAGCAGTACCATAAAGCCATATGAAAACTAAGTGGTTAAGCTAGATTTGAAAGGAGCTAACGATGATGAGGATGATCATGTTATCATAACTAGAAAAGTGTTTCTACTTAAAAGATCATTACAAAGAAATGTAGATTGATTATTAAACATTATAAATTTGTATATAGGTAAGGAAGACAATAGTTCTGCATAGATAAGAATCACAAAAATCAATAAAGAACAGCATAGATGAATCATTAAAATCCTTACCCCCATCTCAGTTGACATAAAATATAAAACCATCAAAATTCAAAGAACCATAAATAATTTACCCTTAGTTTTTCATACCTGAAACATTTGAAACTGAATTGACTAAATAGAATATGTTTAATAAGTTTCCGAGCACTCAAACTATTATCATCTAGAATAGTCAGTAGAAATCGATGACTGAGGATGAGTAACTTATTTCTACGGTACTTAATGAAACTGTCGATATAAATGATCCCTATAAGAGTTTTGGTGAGAAAAAAGAATTTATCATACCAACAGATCAATATAATCCATCAACAGGAATAGTGATAAAAGGGGGTGTGAAGTTAAAGGATAAATCTTCTTTAAAAGAAGGAGGAGATTATGAATCGTCGGATAAAAAGTCTTGATTGAATTTCAAATAGTACTAGAAAATTAGTTAGATGAGGAAAAATTAACACGAGCTCATCATGGAAAGTTAGCTCAATAATAAGACACTTAAAAATGTTCTCTCATCTATAAACAATCTTCAAATGAGAAGAGATAACCAGGATGACATACTGATAGATCAATCAGCTAAAGAAAAAATAAGAGAAATAGCTTCTAGAGGAGCTATAGGCATCAGTTCTTAAGCAAGAAAAAGAATTTCAAATAGAATTATTAGAAATAGTATTAATGTAAGTGCTGAAAATACACTCATCATTGACGATAATCCAAGATCCCTGAATCAAAGTATAAACTATCTTGAATCTTTGAAGAGTCATGAGCAACTTGGAGAAATGAATCCTCTCTTAAATGTGATATCATACAATTCCTCATAAATGCATCTCTTAGCAAATGATCCCTACTCAAATATAAAATTTTAGAGTCCTTAGCTTGTAAATAAGCACCCTTTCAACAATCTTAATCGTAGTATGGAGTAAAATATCAATAAACAAGGAACTGAGAGTAGCAATAACTTATACTTTGGCTTGGGAGGGGAGAGAGATTCAAAATAAAATCGGAGATACCTAATGACAAGAAATTCAATGCAGTTAGCAGAATAACTTAAAACCAAACCATCACAAGATAGGATAGCTTTCGGAAATAGGAATAACAGCATTCATAATACTCATAATTTAGCTTCACTTAATACATCAATCGTATCTGGGTCCAGTCTGTAAAAGAGAATCAGAACAGGGAATGTGAACAATATCAAATAAATTAAAAATCAAACACTAAGATTAAGAAATTTTAGAATAGGAGGTGGTTAATAGAATTCTATAATTTGACTTATTTATACTCTAATAGATTTATACACTTTAATTTAAAGATAAACTATATAGTTTGTTAAAAAAATTTGGTCAATTTCACTTGAGTCCAAGTTCATCTCTTAATATATGAATTGCTCTAATTACTTCCTCATGTCTACTCCTTCTGTACTAATCAACAGCGCTCTCTAGCTCATTGAAAAATTCTAATAGTACATTTTTCCTATCAGAATAAGACACCTCATCTTTTTATGCAATCTAGCTTAGCAATTAAATTCTCTCTATTTATTTATTATATTCTTCTCTAGATAATTATTTCTTCAGGCATTCATTACCAAGGCCAGATCTTGACTCGTCAGCCCTTTTCTGCTATGAGCAAGAAAGAACCAAATCTTTGCTGTAACTTTAATTCTAAATGTTCTTTATGAAGTAAACAAGTTGAGTGAAATACTCACAGAAGAAATCGCTAGGAGTTAGTTGATCCCTGAATCTGTTTATGTCAAATAGTGAGTAACTCTTGTCAGCAATGAGATGATCTCTCATCTCTCTTAATACATCTTCATATCTTATTAAGCGAGTGATTTTAGCCCCTTCACTTTAAATGCTTCTGAACAAATTATCATTTAGCAAATGACTCACTGAATTAAATGACCTGATGGTAATACTCGATCCCTACTGCTCTTCTCTTTAATTAAACATATGTAAGACTGCAATAACAAATAGCATGAGTGCCACGATCTTAGTTTTGTAAAGTTTATTCTTTCTATGAATTAAATTCATTTCCTGTTCAATGAGATCATTTTAAAGGATTCTAACACTTGCCTCCTTTTCTTTTTGTTTTGAAAGCAGATCAAGATTGACTCTTTCCTGCCTACGCTCCTATTCCTTGATTCTAGCCTAATCTTCTAAGTAGGGTAGACATTACTGTTAATGTAGCTGCTCTAAAGTTAATAGGTAAGGTTGATTGCAGTGTCTACATGTCTACAAACAATGAGTAAAATGTTCACTCTAAGAAGAGAGAGGGAGAACCATTCCACAGCCCACATTATTATTAGGGCACCTAATTCTCAAATTATCGAATATCTACTGCTCATCTGGAGTAAGGTCCTTGTTCATTAAGAGATTTCTAGCTAAATCTTACTTTTAAAAGAAAGCTAGATCATCTAGTTGAGAATTCAATGGATCAGAAAGATGTTCTCCGCCAGAAGCCCCTCCATTTCTGCAGCTTGGACATTCAAGAGTCTAATTAACATGCGATACGAAGAAATCATTGCAAAATACTCTGCTACAAAGTCTGCATTTTACCGGGCTTACTGGAATCCCTCCACAGAAATCGCATATTATCTAAATGATCTAAGAAGGGTCAATGCTGTTGACATCCAACAATGAAGTGTCAAAGTTAGTGTGAAGCTCCATACTTTTCTTAATTTTAATAATTTTTATTTTAAGTTAAATAGTATTTTTATAATGTCAATAAGTAATTAAGCAATACTAAAGGGGTAAGAGGAGATTGATTTCATTAAGGAATTAAAAGAAGTTAATTATTCACATAACGTATGGGTTTCTATCTCTGATGAGCTTCTCGCATTTGTTGAATTTCTTGAAGTCATCAGCTTTTTTGTTTGGTGATTGAATAAATACGCATGAAGTTGGTCTTTTAGTTTTACAGGCCTCTCCTACCTCAGCTCTGCTTTTAACATAAATATAGGGGACTCCCTTCTCTTCACAAAGAATAGGTAGATGAGATAAAACATCGATGGGTGAGATGTCAGCAGCAATGATGCAAACACTATATAGGGGGAATGAGAAAACTTATGTATATTTACCCTTTGCCGTCCTTTTTAATGGCTTTCACGGTCTCTTTGACTCCTCTCTTTACACTCTTTGATTTCATACTTTTCTTAATGAGTTTAATGAGTTTCTTTGAGAGCTTGTCGCTGGCTAAGGGCTCGGCGATTGGGCTTACGAAAAGTCTAGATTCGATTTCAGCTTGTTTATCTTCTGTGTCGCTCATAGTTAGTTATTATATTGACTTTATTATTAATTAATAATAAATTCATCGATTGAGCAATAAATTTAAAATTTAAATTGAGAAATAATGGACAAGAACGCTCTCAGATAACTCAAAATTAAAACTTCCACCTTGAAGAGGTAAATCTAAGTGGTTAATGACTTTTAGGAATTTAAAAGACTATAACTCATACAATAAGGAGACAAAGGAACTTGAGGCTAAATTAGAGGTCTTAAAGGAAGGCAATGACGAAACTGCTATTAAAAAGATGAACGAGTGTATATTGGAGACATCTTAAATGCTTCCAAATACTAAAACTAGAATAGAAAATGCTCTTGAAGATCTTAAAAATTTTATGAGTGAGCACGAGGAAAACGATGAAATGAAGACAACTGAGGATTGGCAGACAGCTGAACAAACTCTAGCTGAAGTCATGGCATTTGTTGAGTCTATTTGACAAAAAGAGCGTTAGTTTTGTGCAATAAGTATACTTTCCGTTCAATATTTATATCTTCAATTGCCTTATTCATCAGTCAAACTGAGATTAGGGGTTTTGGGGTTTTGGGGTTTTGGGGTTTTGGGG